GCAGCATAAAGTCTGCCTGATGCGGTGTGCTCAACCACATAGACAGTGCCATATGTACCCCGACCACGTGCGCAGCCCTTCTTGACGATGTAGTCACCCAATTGACTAGCAGGCGCCTTTCAGGGTCAATGATTGGAAGAAAGAATGGGAACAAGCACAGCAAGGAACAGAAAAATCACATCATATCATACGCTGCATGTCACATATATAATATACCAACCATTGATACGGCGTTATCACTTATCGCTTGTGACCTATCCCGGCCTATCACCATCTATCACCCAAATGTTATTGTGAGATTTCAATCATACAATTCTGGCACTTGGAGCTCAACACATGTGGTTTGGCTGTCATACAGGACCGCTCCAAAATAGCAGGAATTGAGTTTGCTTCAACCTCTGGGAGACATGAAATCGTGAAGTAAAATAGCATCACGAACTGAACCACTGAGGATTCTCAAATCATGCTGCTTGGACATAGGAAATACTGCAATGTCTTGGCACCCGTCAGCTGACATGGGATTGGAAATGAGAAAGAAGACAGAACAAATCACGTCATCATATCTGATATGACAAGTCAGAAATTCTTCGGGCCTGTTTTGTGGGTCCAGAACGCAGTGTAGTTATATATAGACTAGACTAGAAGTATAGTTCGAGTTCTCTGAAAACTATCAAGCTTATCAAGGCTGAGTCGTCCAAATCAGTCAAAGCCAAGCCTAAAACCAACCCCATGATGGAGCACTGACTGGAATGATAGTCAATCAATTTTTTCATGAACATGACCACCTTTTCTGGTCGGACCCACAAACAGATCAAATTTGGACACACTGGCCTGCGAGGAACTTTGGGCTACTGCAGCAGTTGGGTCATCGGTCTGAGAGTTGCTCTGGCTGTTTGGTTTCTGGAAGTACTTCTCTTTCTCTTCCTGCGGAAGCTGTTTCCACATGGAGCTGCCTTCTTTGATGTGTTTGCCAGTGTCCCTGAGAAAGGCTGCAAAGCCACCGATTTTCCGATCAAATCGAAGCCCTTTTTCAGATTCATCACACTGCCGCTTTCGAAGCTGCAAGCCAGCCCGACTGGTCTGCAATCTTTGGGCTGCAAAAGACTCCCGGGACAACTGTTCAAATGTCTGCTTTTCCTTCCCACTAAGCTGCTTCCACGCCACGCTTCCTTCCTGCGCCCGAAGTCTCTTCTCTTTGCAGAACATGGCAAACGGACGCAAGGCAGTCTGAACCAAACCAACCTTCTTAGCTACAGACAATCTTGTGGGTCTCTTGATGGCTTTATCCTTCGACTCTTTTGCCAGTGCCGGTTCTTTTTGCTTGGTCTTCTTCTGACCACTGCCTTGGTCCGCCTGCTTCCCACACAAGCGTTTCCGAGGCGCCATGAGTCACCAAGAGCCCTCTCTCTGGAGACTAAGGCAAGGCAGCAGCTCTCTCTCTTTAGTGGTACATTACTAAACCCTTCGCGATGGGCTGCAAAACACATGATGAGAAATGTTACCTCGGAAATCACATGATAAAATTGGTTGTATTATGGTTCGTGCTTCATGATTCATGATTCATGACGTTAGTTATGTAGTTGTGCTGTGGACTTCAGCTGCACTACTATGACTGCTTTACCTCGCAACTTCTTCCAAAGACCTGCCAAACAGTAGTCACGCCCTTTTGCTCCTAAAACTGCTGTGGTTTGTTTATCAAAAGTGCTGCTACATCCATGGTTTGAGACCAAACAGCTGAGTCTGAGGATGGAAAGCGGTCATATCATATCCAAAGACTTTGGTCGCTGCAACCAGCTCTCCCATCCAATGCGGGGCGCCTCCAATCTGGCTGGGCACCAATGGCGTCGCTCACCTTTGGGCTGAACCCAGAAAATCCTGCCACTGTTGCAATGAACCGCTTGTCAGCCTTCTCCATGTTGGAGCCATGCAGTTCCAGGCACACCAAGACCTTTTGCAGGTCCTGCATGGACTGGCAGCAAAGGCCATTTTCATTCTGAAACTCCTCCAATTGGTCCACGTGCTCACTCTTCGGCAACCTGAAACCAAAAAAACATCAGCACGCCATCAAACTTTCAGGCTACTCATGGTGGAAGGTTCGTAAATTATGGCGCCATCTTTGCTTATGGTATTTCCGTGCGTTACAAGAGGGAAAACAAGTCAATGAACACAGGAAAATTTGGACTGTCATATTCATGCAATGGCAACACTAATCCAATAATTAAAGGACCGGATAACCCCACATGTCAACTTCTTCCAACAAGCAGCAAAAGAAAGGCAAAGACGGCATGGGGAAAGCAGGAAAGAGAAAAGAGATGGTGAAGGATTGGTGTGGAGTAAGTTGAGTGTGGAAGAGTACGTGTGAGTAAGTTGTGTATGGATAAGTTGTGTTTGTGGGTGAGGTCTGTGGGTGTGTGTGTGCGAGTATGTGTGTGTGGTGTGCGGCCACGATCAAAGATGCCCCACGCCAGGAAGTGCGGCGAAGGGTAATCGATGCGTGACCATTGATTATGTGTCCGCAAACGTACAGCGCAGACCATCAAGAAAACGGATGGTCTACGACTGGCGTTTGGATGATGTGTGCGTGGGTGTTTGTGTGTATGTGAGGGTGTGCGGGTGTGCGTGTGGGTGTGCGTGTGGGTGGGCGTGTGAGTGTGGGTGTGAGTGGGGGTGTGTGTGTGGGTGTGGGTGTGGTGTGTGGGTGTGGGTGTGGGTGTGGGTGTGGGTGTGGGTGTGGGTGTGGGTGTGGTGTGTGGTGTGTGGGTGTTGTGGGTGTTGGGTTGTGTGTGTGTGGGTGGGGGGTGTGGGGGTGTGGGGTGTTGGGGTGGGTGGGGGTGTGGGTGTGGTGGTGGGTGTGGGGTGTGGGTGTGGGTGTGGGTGTGTGGGGTGTGTGTTGTCTGTGTGTGGGTGTGGTGTGTGTGGTGTGTGGTGTGTGTGTGTTGTGTGGTGGACAAGTTGTGTGTGGACAAGTGTGTGTGTGACAGTTGTGTGGGGACAAGTTGTGTGATGACAAGTGGTGTGATGGACAAGTGTATGTGGACAAGTTGTATGTGGACAAAATGTGGTGTGATGATTGTGTTGGGACAAGTTGTGTGTGCCACGCCTGCCACGCAAAGTGACGATTAGATGTCGCCAAGTGCCACGCCTGCCACGGCAAACGGCCGCGGCGACCACGGCGCCAGATCTGGACCAAGCGCGCCGCCAGAGCCAGCCCAGTGCCGTGAGTGCCACGCCTGCCACGCAAAGTGACGATAGATGTCGCCAAGTGCCACGCCTGCCACGCAAAGTGACGATAGATGTCGCCAAGTGGCACGCCTGCCACGCAAAACAGCCGCGGCGTCAAAACCGTCAGCTCCGGCCCAAGCGCGCCACCGGAGCCAGCCCAGTGCCGTGAGTGCCACGCCTGCCACGCAAAGTGACGATAGATGTCGCCAAGTGCCACGCCTGCCACGCAAAGTGACGATAGATGTCGCCAAGTGCCGATGACAAGTGGTGTGATGACAAGTTGTGTGTGGACAAGTTGTGTGTGGACAAGTTGTGTGGGGACAAGTTCTGTGATGACAAGTGGTGTGATGACAAGTTGTATGTGGACAAGTTGTGTGATGACAAGTGGTGTGATGACAAGTTGTGTGTGGACAAGTTGTGTGTGGACAAGTTGTGTGGGGACAAGTGGTGTGATGACAAGTGGTGTGATGACAAGTTGTATGTGGACAAGTTGTGTGGGGACAAGTTTTGTGATGACAAGTGGTGTGATGACAAGTTGTGTGTGGACAAGTTGTGTGGGGACAAGTTGTGTGATGACAAGTGGTGTGATGACAAGTTGTGTGATGACAAGTTGTGTGTGGACAAGTTGTGCGGGGACAAGTTGTGTGGGGACAAGTGGTGTGATGACAAGTTGTGTGTGGACAAGTTGTGTGGGGACAAGTTGTGTGGGGACAAGTTGTGTGATGACAAGTGGTGTGATGACAAGTGGTATGTGGACAAGTTGTGTGGGGACAAGTTGTGTGATGACAAGTGGTGTGATGACAAGTTGTATGTGGACAAGTTGTGTGGGGACAAGTTGTGTGATGACAAGTGGTGTGATGACAAGTGGTGTGAGGTGTGAGGTGTGATGACGGAGGAGGGACGGAGGAGGGCGGAGGAGGCGAAGGAGAAGGCGGACGGGATGCAGAACCAAAAACAAGAACCCCACACAAAGATGTGGGGAACAAAAATCATATGAAATCATGGCTTGAGTGCATGCACTTAAAGTGCTTTGGAACTGGCTTGACACCAACATGTTCACCAACCCCGTGTCAAAAGCTGGCATGCAGTCCAGAGAGATCATAAAGCAAGAACGGTAATAGGCAATAAGAATAGTGACCATATGATATGTGATATTGATATATGAGTAAGACGTGGTTTTACTGCAGCTTATTTCTATCTGGGACTCGATTACTTGACGTGAGTACAACTGATATGATACGCACAACTGATTGCACACCCATTGAAAAACACAGCTTGAGTTCAGAACCCGAGCTAGTGGCAAAATAGTGGCACTAAGTAAGTGATTAAGTCTACATAGTCAAGTCGTAGTGTTCACTGTGTTTTGAAAATCAGTAAGTACATAAACCTCAGACTTAAAACTACAGATTGTCTGACTAACTGAACAAAACTTGCGTGCATCAAGCCAAGTGACCACCTCTTTGGGTCTCCCAGATCAGCAGTCTTCAAAGCCTTCGGAACAAAGGCCTGCAAAGAATCCAGAGTAGCACCACCGCGGATGCGATCGAAGCATTCATTGACCAAATTCTGCTGCGTCTGGAGCAATGTCGCCCAAAGCCTGTTCTTGTCCTGCTTGGCAAAGGGAAGTGTTGTCAGGAACCATTGGAAACGAAATGACTGCGAAGGGGTCTCAACCGAGGTGTAGGTCTGGATGAACTCAAAGAAGACCGGAGCCTGAGTGAGAAGGGTCTTGGTGTGACTCAGGCTGGAGATGGTTCGAGGCTTCAATTCGTAGTAAGCATCACTGCAGCATAGAGTCATCGAACCTTGAAAGTAGCAAAGCTTAGCATCGTCACAAAAAAGATAACAGGCTATCTGACTGACCATTCTATAATCTAAAGAGATAGATTCAGATTCAGATTCATATCCTGTCATGCTGCCATGCCATACGCGCGATACAAAACGGTGACCAACATTGAAAACCAAAAGCAATGGGTAGTCAAATAGAGTCGGTAATGAAACCAATGTCCAATTTAGATGAGTCGAGACAGTGTGCGAAAATTCAGCAGCGCCAGCTTGTTATCAAACTTCTGAACATGACATGACTGCTTACTGCCGACGACTGACTATCGAATGTGGTGAATACATATATGACTTATGACTCAGGAGCAAGGGACGGGAAGCAAACAATGGACCGGTGATGACTAAAACATGATGGAGGTTCTATGTTTCGGAAACCTCCAAGAATCAGCAAATCCGTGACACAGTGACACGGTTTACAATCTCTGTGTCTCTGCTGCATTGATGGTGCCATCGTACCCACTAATGCCCCGTCATGTTGGTTCCCTACTCTCATTGTCACATGGCCATGGGCCAAATGCCGGGACAAACGCCCTGCAGTGCACACAGCCCAGATCAAAACCCAACCATGCGCAGCAAGTGACAAAGGCATCAAGGAGCTTCTTGCCAGCAAAGTGCATGATGTCCCTGAGAGTCATCGGCTCCTTCACCAGCATCTGACCTGCCGCAAAGTCATCCTGCGACAGGCACTTGATCAAAGACCCTGTAGTAGAGCTTGCCTCGGCGACGAACTCCTCAACCTTCATGGACCGAGCCAATCGACAGAAATCCTTCATGTTCCGGATGAACCTGCACTGATTCTCAATCTCCATGATGAAGTCTTCCGCATGCTTTCTCTGATCCTGGTCCACCTGGTCAGACTCCATGGCCGTCTTGAGAGCTGAAACTGTGGAAGTTTCTTTGGCCACTCTGCGGTCAACCTCATGGATCCTGATGCAAGATCGCCACAATGTGTCACATTTGATCTCTTTGATCGTCTGCACATACTTCTCAGCCATGTCGCAAGCAGCCTTGAGCTTCTCATTGTCCCCCGGCCCAGACTTTTTGGTAATCCTGTGTCGAGGCTTCTCGGCGCTAGATTTGGGCTTGGCCGATGACTTTGCCCCGGCACTCTTTCGTTTCAACCTTTTCGGGCTCGGGCTAGCCTTCTCACTGGCGCACCCAAAGCTGCTCTTCTCCGAATCCGACGAGCTGGAATCGGAGCTGGAACTTTCCTGTGAGCTTTTCTCCATGTTCTCTTGCTCTTTCTGGGCTCGTTCGATCTCCTCCTGAAGCATGATTCATGATGGCCCACACCCCTGCTTAATTGTCATGGAGGCCTCTGATCAGAAAACATAACATATCACATCGCATCATAATATCAAACCACATCACAAATTTGTGTGTGTATCTTATCATATCATGTCACATCAAGTCATGCTGTAACATAGCGTATCATTTAGTCATACAGCTATATGTAAAACTCAGCTCATTTATAACGTTGATGTATTCGTATTCGTATTCAAGCAAACCATAATGTCATATCATATCAAATCATATCATGGAATCATCTGCTGTTTGGTGGAGAAACAGTGGAATCGCACAATGGCTCGGATTGTAACAGCTTTTGAAGCAGAAATGCGGAAATGAAGTTTGGTTCTGATGGTAAACTAATTGTATCACTGCGGAAACTAAATACTGGGCTCATAAATACTACCTACAGATACCTCCAGTCTTATTCTTTTTGGTTTTATCATCCTGTAAACTATAGGCTATACTAAACGCGTGCAAACAGCATGTATCGAATCAAATTTAAAGTTGTATTTTGTTAATGCTTCTAGGTGCTAATGACTATGCAAGATTGTAAAGTAATTGCCATTGTTTTGTTAATGATACCGTCATATCATATCATACCTAGTTTCTATTGATGCCCAGTATCATGTCAATATCGGCACATCATATCATACCGCATATCTTCCTCACGCAGCCCAACCGACCCGAAAAGATAAAACTGTTCAGAGGTAGGGCATCATTTCCGATTGTCAGTTGCATGCCTGGCCTCCTGCCATATGAATTCAACTTTGGTGAACATGGACTCAGTCAGGTTTGGTTCACTTGCATATATATATATATATCATATAGAGAGATCGAACAAGAGTTTGGGCAGTCCAAAACAGTTTACCAAAAAAAAGCAATGATATGATAATGATGACACACAAACGCGATCTTAAATTATCGACTTCTTGATGTGCGACATGGTCATCATGTGACTCAATAACCCATAAGTCGATCTCAATGCACTCATCTCAATGCAGCCTTGCTGCCCCGTCCTGAGCCCTACTTTTTACTGCTGTATGATTATGATGCTTGATATCAACGATCATTGAAATTGACTTCGAGGCTTGTTACCTGGAGAACTCCGTCCCACATCCCCACGCCTTGCTGTTTGTGGTTGCTTGCACCTCCTCAGCAGCCCTCTTGAAGCTCTCCTTTGCATCTTCCTTTGTGTCGTGGGATTCCTTCTTGACGCGCTCAGCTGCCATGCGGACACCCGCGAGCATAAGAGTGTCGCCCGCCACGGGCACGCAAAGTGCATTGTTCTTGCTTGGATCCTTTTGCAAGGTGAGCTTCAAGGTGTTGGTGATGTATGCCTTGCGTTCCTTGTCACTTTTGAACTTTTTCTTCACCTTGAGGTGCTCATCCAAGTATTGCTTCATGGGGACCAGCTTGGACACCTCGCGATCACAAAAACAATCTGAGTGAAGGCAAGGGGCAAGAGCCGGCTGAAAAGAAACATGAAGAAATGCACTATCCAAAGTCACCGTTACGAAAAAGTGTGGTGTGAAACACATGATGCAAGTAGATGAAGCAAGTGGGGTGATAAAAAATGATATTGATATTAATGTTAATTAATTTAAGAGGGAGAAATGTAAGACACAACATAATTATATACATGTTACATGTAACATACTGTTACATCCTGCAAACATACTGCATACTGCACACTTGATAAAACAATATTAAAGCAAACAACAAGCCAAACTACACTTGCTTAAAGATTGGGCGAAACTCCGGAATGATCAAAGAAACAGAGCCCAGCCTGTTGGAAATCCACATATTTCTGCTCGCTCTTTTTCACCAACTGCTCTATCGAGACTTTCTCATGCCGGCTCTTCTTGCTTGGGTGCAGCACGCTGTGCTCAACATGAGCGGCTCTCAACTGCGCAAACCTGACGGGCGTAGGAGATCAGTGTGGCAGTGGCATCAACAGAGTTTGCTTAGAGATGGCCGTTACGCTGAAACAGCGCCCATGCCGTGTTCAACTCAATCACGTGGGAAACGAAATGTCTGACCATAGTTGCCTAAAGCCAAAAACAGGCACATACTTTCAGGT